GTTTCTTGCAAAGTCTGTCAATCCTTGATAGAAAGTCTGAACTAGAGTACTTTTCTCAATACCATGGTGAGGATATCTTCTTTGCAATTCCTTGAATCTTGTCCATGCAGCATGAAATGTCTCATCATCTTCTTGAATAAACCCAGTAATTTGATTTCTCAATTTCGCTGCCTTATGTGGTGGGAAGAAATTGATCAGGAATTCCTTGTACAGCTCATCCCAAGTTGTGATGGAACCAGGATCGCAAGTATTCAACCAATTCTTCGCTTCTCCCCTCAATGAAAAAGGGAAAAGTCTCAGCCGGATTGCATCTGACGTCACACCATTTATCTTCATTGTATCACAAATCTCTAAAAAGTTGTGAATATGCGCATTTGGATCCTCATTGTTAAAACTAGAGAATTGATTCTATTGCACCATCTGGATCAATGCTGGCTTGAGCTCAAAGGTATTCGCAGCAATGGTAGGCCTAGTAATACTTGACCTAGCAACATTCTCCGTAGGTGTAAAGTAATCCCTCAGTGTCCGAGTGTTTACTCTGTCGCCCATGGTTTCACTCTGATTCTTCTCTTTTCTTAGTTTTGCTTCTTTTCTGTTCGCACGAGCTGTTCTTTCTATCTCTGGATCAAATTGCAAAGTCTCAGAGTTAGCACTTCGCATATAAAAACAAGACAAAAATATTTAAAAGAAATCACTAAAATAGTAAGACAATAAAATAAATAAAATAAAAAAAAACAAATCTAAACTAATAAAAGAAAGTAATCTAAATTTGATATTAGCTACCTTCTCCGGCAACGGCGCCAAATTTAACAAGCCGTCGTCAGAACTAGTCAAATAAATTTACCTACTTAACACTAGTATAGCAGAAAATAGGGTCGTACCCACAGAGAAGGAATACTAATTACCAGGTATAAATTACTCCTATTATTATCTAGATAAATGATGATCTCAGGTTTATAAAATTTAAAACTAAAATAAAAAAAATAAAATAAAAGCAAATAATATTAATTCAAATAATCAGACAAAGGAAAACCTAGGACATTGGGTTCACCTACCAAATATTTGGGTTAGTTCAGTTCATAAGTATTTGACTTTTAACCTCCATTAATCTCACAACGATTCACCTAATTAAGAACTACACACTCTCGTGTTATAATTCTCTTACTTATATTAACCCTATGACTCTCTCGTGACTATAGGGATTAACAAAAGCATATTAAGACCATTAAGAATCAAATATTGCAAAGGTTATAATCTTACTCTCGTAGCTTACAACCTAAGTTTATTATTCCTACGAACTAATACTAATCTTTCACTCTCGCTACGTCAATTAATATCTTCAGACATGTAAATAGTGGCCAATTACTTACACGAATTAAAACAAGAATAACAAATATTAATTAATGAAAAAATCAAATAATAATGAACCAAATAAACCAAATAAATCCGGTGGCTACACCCAAGCCTTAGATTAAAAGAATTTAGCCACTAAACATTATAAAAAATAATTCAATAATATTTAGAGACATAATCCAAAAATCTGAAATTAAAAAAATAAAACTCCAAAACCCGAATGAAGAATAAGGCTGCCGAATTGCTCCCCGGCGGCTTCCTTGCTTTCGCTTCTCCTTCTTCTCGGTTGGTGGAAGATTGAAGCTTGAAGGTGATGATTGGCTGGTGTGGCGTGGACAGAGATGATAGAGCCAAGGTGGTGAAGAGGTGAACTACGGCTGGTGAAGTGGAGGTGGTGCGTGGAGGAGGAAGATGATGGTGCTGGTGGCTGCTTCGTGGACAGCAAGGTGGTGCTTGGATGATGGCTTCGGTGATGAAGGATGATGATGATTAAGCAGAGGTAATGGAGCTGCTGTTGTGCGAACAAAAAGGAAGCTCCGGTAGAGGAAAGTTGCAGCGGCGGTGATGGAGGTCAAGGTGGTGGCCGGCGGCGGTGAACAAGGAAACAAGAAGGTGATGGCGGGGGAAGTGTTTTGCAGCCGTAAGATTTTCGGCCAGTTTTCGGTTTAGTTCTGTTGTAAAAGTAAATCTTTAATCCTCCTTTTATAGGCTTCCGTCAAAACCCTACTTCTTGGAGAGCAAGAAAACTTGTTTCCCAAATAATATCAGGATTAAAATTCTTATCCAATTCCAATCCCAAATCAGCCGCACCATCATTGTTTGTTCGGCCAATTTCCAAAAACTAAACATTCCAAAATTGCATCATCGGCCCTCCAATTTCTTCCCCATCAATTGCTCCAATCTTCAATTCTTTCCCATTGAGTTGCTTTTAATTCGATTTTAGCTCAAAACTTCAACAATTCTTCATTTGAGTACAATTCCTACAATTAAAGATAAAATCACATAAATAGCATATTTGTACTCAAAATATATTGTAAAAATCACAAATTAGGGATATAATAAATAGGTAAAATATAAGCATATCTAATTCGCTTTCGAGTCCTTTCGACGGAGGCAGCAACCATATTTGATGCTTAAGCCTTTGTGGCACAAGTTTGTTCCTTCGCGCATCTCTTTCTTCCTTTGGAGATTGCGCAATGGTTTGCTTCCATTTCCTGAAATTGTTAGTGCCTTTGGTATAATAACAAGGCCTTCTATGTGTCTCCTTTGCAGAAACAAAAGTGATGATTTGCATCAATGCTTTTATGGTTGTAATTTTATTACAGCTATATGGGATCGCTTTGCTCTTGTTATAAGTGTAGAAGTTCGGGGGCATAGAACTTTGTTGGGTCTCTTGAAGAGGTGGTGGCGCCATGGATCTTTCACATCAGCGAAAAAGCCTTTGTATTACTTATTCCCCATCTTTATTCTTTGGGAAGTTTGGAAGGCAAGAAATAAGGCAATCTTCAAAGGAGTTCAGTTCACTTTAAGCTCGGTCATTCAACTAATCCATCATCAGGTTAAGGACTTAATTTTCATCCATGGTTTAAAAGTAGTTGGTGATGCTGAAAATTCTTTTATTTTAAGTCCTTTTGGATTTCACTTGACTCGAGTTAATAAAAGGAATCCTAAAGTAGTAAGGTGGATTCCCCCATATTCAAACTGTTTTGTTTTGTATTCGGATGGTGCATCTAATGCTAATGGAGCAGGTTATGGTTTTGTCATCCGAGGAGAAGATGGTAAGTTCATTTATGCAGAAAGTGGATATTTGGGTGATGGAGATTTTTTCCAAGCAGAAATTTTTGGTATTCTATTTGGACTTCGCAGGTGCGAGCTCCTACAACTTTCAAATGTTAGTGTACAAACTGATAATCATTCTCTGTCTTGTATTCTGAATGAGAAGAGAGGATTTCCATGGCGATTTCATTTGGAGTTGATAGAGATGTGTTCTATCATCTTAAGGAATAATTTCTTGGTCTCTCATATTTACAGGGAAGGCAATGCAGTTGCAGACTATTTAACTAAACAAGCATCAAGTGGAATATCTAATACTTACAATAGTTTTGTGTCACTGTCTAGTTTTGTAAAGGGACTTTTGATATTAGATCAATTGTCCTTTTTATATTTACGAAAGTAGCTTCTATGGCCTTGTTCAAGGGTGAGACATAAACACTGCCCTCTTTTTTCCACATCTTAATAAAATCAGGGAAGGGTGAAACTAGGAAATTATATAGTATAAATGTCCATCCACTTGGGTATACCCTTGGGTACATTGTACTATATAGCACTGCCTATCTCAAAAATTTATCTCCGGGTAGACCCCTTTTTTGAGATAGTTGGAACCTGAATGTCACCCTTGCCTTCCTGTTGAGTTAAAAAAAAAAACATTAAGATTGATGTTAATATAGGTTTGCCTTCTGATTGGTTTACTGAACCGTATTTCCATACATGGGGCAGGCCATTGTTTCTATGTCCAAAATCGTCTGACAAAGGGGAATTTCTGGTCACTTCAAAATGAGCGAGGGAGTACATAATTTACAATCCCGAAACAAACAAGTTAAAGCAGATGAAAAAGCCTCCTTGATTGTCAATGATGTATGAATTGGCCGTGGGATTCTGGTGGCCGCATTTTCTTAAGATTTAATTCTAATATAATTTTTTTTTTTAGTTTTTTTTTGTCTAAGATTTCTTGTGGAGTTTGGAAACTATAATTTGTTACTTTTTCAATAAAGACTTGGTGAAGTTTCTTATTTTGTTAATTTGTCTAATAGTATTATTTTAATTTATATTAAATTACATTATTTATATTTTAGTTATTGGTAGTAAACAAATAAATCTATTATTTCGAATGATAAAATGATGTTACATTCTAAATAAACTCCTATTTAAATTAGCTTAATTTTAACGTGTATTAAATGTACGAAGTTTTTTATGGATTTGATATTGATATGACAAAATTAGTTTTTTTTAGTTATTTTAATGTGGCAATATCTTTAAATCAGTTACGTAAGTTGTTTAAAAGGTAATAAAATATTAAATGTAATAAAATGTAATATAAGAGGCAACAATTGTATATAGATATATGAATGGAATTTTTATTGAAAAAATATTTTTTTAAATTATTTTTGATTCAAAATTTAAATTTTCAAGTTACTTAATATCTTCTTCCAACCTTATCTTCGTCCAACTTTAAATTTTTTTTTGCAACATATGTTAAACTGAATTTTTTATTCAATTATTTTTTTATCTTTGATTTTGATACTTTAAATTCTATGATATTAGTTATCAGTATATTTTTTTTAATATTTTGAAAAGTCTCAGGTTTAAATTCTGTTAAATTGCTGCATCTTTTAAATATTTTTTAAAAATTGAATGGATTTTATTGTGACAATCTAAATGTAGATCACAATCAACATTTGATTTCGGCTGGCTATTATAACTATGATCATTGTTTTACTTTAAATTTACCAATTTATGTGATTTTTTTGTTACTTTATAATTTGTTTTACTAAAGAATCACATTCAGTTTCATGAATCTTTTTTCCAAATTCATCAATGAAGAAACAATTTGATGGAAAAACGCGAAGAAAAGCAGGTTCACTTTGCAGAACCAGAATAGATGCTCACAATGTTGAGTCGGCTAATTCTCGAGATGCAACGGATAGCTTTGCTATGTCCTCGAGAGATAGGCGTGGGATCTTCAACAAAACATCCAATTCAGTCATTTCCGGTATCATATCTCCAACAAAGACCAATGACAGGAAAATTGACTCTATTAGTCAAATTTCTAACATCAACGATGGTTAGAACTTCTCCTTTATGATTATGCATAAAGTTATTTTCGGTATATTAACTTTGTTTAACGTGCATGTTTTTCTTTGTTTTTTTTTTGTAGTTTTAGTAAACAGTAATTAATTTTTAATGAACGTATATGCATATTATGCTCGCAGCTCAAGAAAACCATACTTGCATTTTGGTGGCGTGATCATTACGAAAGCTTTGAGAGCTAACAAAATTTGCAAGGAAGTTGTAATGTACTGATGCAAGGCGTGAGAATCTCCCTATAAAAAGAGCAGGTATTAGTGGATCTCTCGCAGTTCAAAATACATCATCGTATCACATAGCAAACTCAATTTGCTCCAAGTCCTCAATTTCCTCTAACTTTTCCTCCCCAACTCCTCCTCCAGTTTCGGATTATGAGAATGGTACAACAATGGTCTAGGCATGCACAAGAAAACAGACCGTATAAAGCTTGAGCGTGGTACAACAATTGTCTAAGCATGCGCAATAGCACAAGAAAACACACCTCATAAAGCTTTCACAATACCTGGGCCATTGTTGTACGAATTTCAATAGTTCGAAACCTGGAGGACGTGTTGGGAATGTGGAGCAACGCGGTAGTATACTTTGTTCCTTTTTGAGGTAATTATTAGTGCTTTCATCAATTTGCCACTACTTTGTCAACATTTGGACACAGGCAGTTGTGATTTTCAGATGAGCAATTCAAAGGAATTCAATCACTACTAATTGGTATCTTTATTTATGAATTAATGACGATAGATGCATTCGCCATAGTTTTAGCATTGCGGCAAACCCGTGTCAAATATATAGCTGATTTGGGCGCTCTAGCCAAAACGAATCCTATTTTGGCTATTACCTTTTCCATTACTATGTTCTCATATGCAGGAATACCCCCGTTAGCCGGCTTTTGTAGCAAATTTTATTTGTTTTTCGCCACTTTGGGTTGTGGGGCTTACTTCCTAGCCCCAGTGGGAGTAGTGACTAGCGTTATAGGTCGTTGGGCGGCCAGAAGGTTGCCACGAGTAAATCAGTTTGGGAGACCGAAGGCAAATCTCCGTGCACCAGACACGTAGCTTACCGAATCAGTTGCAACACGGATGGGAATGCATGCTACGAAAGAGAGGGTCGGGTCTGATCCATCAACCATCTACTCAATATCCTTGTACGAGTCCACAATCACTACACGAGATGAACCTTGATTTGGTGAATTGAAGTTGGCCTTAGGTCTAATAGGACTCTCAGTTACTATGCGCGATCGTATACTGAGGTGCTCCCCGCCGGTTGTTGGAACGACGCGAGCTGGGCCGGTTTCAATTCAGAAAGATGAAGGGCCAAAAAGTATAAATGGGGGGTTCCAAATTCCCCATCTCATTGGGGCGGAAAATGAATCGACATCTCGATGTGATACAACCCTTTCTTTTTTAGTTGGGAAAGAACGGCGAAGTCCATCCGAACCGTCCAATGAAGAATAAGAGGAGAGCAAAGTGCCAATGGCGCGCGAAGCGCATGCGGAACGGGCACGAAGAAAAAGAAGTGTGGAGGAGAAGCAGCCAAGCTCATTCCCTTCGCTTCCTGGGCCCAAAGCAGTGCAGTCTTTCCTGGCCAGATCAAGGATTGGGGGCTTCTTGCTACGCTACTTAACTATAAAAATCCATTTTAATTCATAATATATATGAATAGAAAGATAGAGACATCCATCTATCCTATCTTTTTTTTTTATTTGGATATCTAAAAAAGAATAGATTTCATTCAACCTTTGATTCAAAGAACTGCGCTTAGCCCCCCCTCCCCCGCGCTCATGAAAGGGCTCTGATGCAATGGATGGCAGAGGGTCCATAGTACCCGAAGCACTAGAGTAATCCAAGAGCCGGGAAGGGGCCTAGAAGTGCTGCCTACTACACCACACTACACTTGGCTCTACACATTTACTGAGTAACCCTTGTCCAAGCCCAGCAGAGCTAAGAGGGCTTCAATCCTTGCTCTTTATCTCCATCTTCGCCCAGCTAACGGGGCCTTACTTATTCGGGGGAGGCTCGAAAAGCACCGTTGAGAGAAATCTCTTTGTGGCCCCCTTGATTCTCTACAGGGTTCCAAACCTTTCTTCAACATAGGTGACAACGAGCGAGGCGAGATGGAAGAGATCAAACACGGGAATAAGAAGCAAGCTCGCCTTCTTTTTTGATCATTTTTATAGAGAAGAAAGTGGACAAAACAGACTCGCATTTCTCATCAAACAAATACAAAAAAAGAAGAATATTGAAAACGCTTCTAAAACCCAACCCTTTCTGTCGTAGAGCCGTGTATTGTAAGTGATCCTAACCTGCTTGGAGCGAGCCCCCCATAGAGGCAAGTGTAGTTGGTGAGCCGTATGATGGGCAACTATCTCCTGCGGTTCGGAGAGGACTCAGCTGTTAGTTAGTACCCCCTTGGCTTGGTTTCAGGGTGGACCCTTTCACTTTATTTTATTATATACGCTTAGTGAAAAGAATGTTTTTTGATACACCTAGGACATGGATTCTATATGAACCAATGGATCGTGACAAGTCGTTACTACTAGCAATGACTTCCTCTTTCATTACTTCATTCTTTCTATATCCCTCTCCTTTGTTCTCAGTTACTCATCAAATGGCACTCAGTTTATATCTTTAAGTTCGATCATTGACAAGGTTCAAAGAAAGGGTGGGTGGATGATGATTAGTGGGTCGCTAGTTTCAACACTATGGAGGTTCAACTCCTCCTTAATCGCTGTCAAATCAACGAAAGTACGAGATCGGTTATCTACGAAATTCAAAAAAATCTTTTATGAACGAACTTCAGACCTTCCACTCCTTTCTACTACTCCACTCGTTTGGGGAAATCCTTATAAGAAATATTCCTATTTTTGGAAAGGAAGGAATGCAGGGAACAACTCTTTCCTTTCCACCGGTTCTTGAAAGCTATCAATCCCCGTCTGAATAGTGAGAAAGACTTTTCATAATTCGATCAAATCGATAGAGAATCTCATCGTTCGTTAGGCGGGCACCGACCCGCCAAACGTATTATTCTCCTTGCCAAGTTTACTACCCGCTAATGGATCCGATAAGAGATTCCAATAGTTAGAGTACTCTTCGCTATCGGTACCGGAAAATAAGGCACGAGCAAGGGGTTTCATTCATAACGAGTAAGTCCTCGGCAGTCTTTCATGAAGACATTGGAAAAACTTTCTTCTAAGATGGTGAAGGCACAAGCAAATACATTATCCACGCCTTTAACCCTAGGCATAAGATACTTATGGTCACCGCTAACCCGACCACGGTAAGGATGTATCACGAGAAGGTAAGCTGTGCCAAGTACGGGTTGGCGCTCTTCACGGAAAATAGCATTGGGACATGCTATTACCTATGTATGGTGACCGAGTCTATCCGGTCAAACGGAAGAAAGCAAGCAAGTGGTTAAGCTTACGTAATCTTTAGTTCTAGCCCTATAATCTAAGTAGAAAGGCCTCTCCCGTTAGCGAGCAGGCAAGGGAACTTCCATCGATCGAGTTTCAGTCGCTTTTCGTTGATCCAGGCGAGAAAGCTTACTAAGCCTGCCTCTGCTTTTGTCTATCTTTCAAGCAAGGTTCGCAAGAATGTTAGAAAGCCTTCAAAGAACCGTTATCCCACAGGTTTCTCCCGCTAAACTACTTTGAGTCCGCACTTCTATCGTGCATTCTAAGACCGTGCCAGCCTAAAGAAGAGACTCCACTAGGCTGTAATCTTCTTGTTTCTAAACTCAATCTAGGGTTTATGCGGCTCTCGAATAATGTGTCCACTTTGTAGGGACTAGGGTACATCTTGAATCAACTATAAGAGGGAATAGCCGAACATGCTCTTGAAATTATATAATAATGGAAAGATATTCTTCGATTAATGATTAACTCTTATCAGCTCACCGGACATAATAGAAATGAAACGGAGGGCTTTCCTTTTCAGTTGCATTGCACCGCCGCATAAACAATGGATCCATTGGGCTGGATGAGCAACCTTCTATCGGCCTCTCTACTCATAATAGCTTCACTTCTAATAACTTCGTTCGTTCGGCTTGCTACTTTTAATCGAAAAGGAAGATGGAGCAAGGCAAAGGAAAATAAGTTGTCCCCTCCTCTTCTCTGGTAACCCGCCGCCGCATATATAGAAAAAGAGGGAGCGGAGAAGGAAGAACAACCTTTTTACTTTGGCACATGAGGTGGCGGGTTTGGCTAGGTAACATCATGGAAATGTATCGGACTGCAAATCCTGGAATGACAGTTCGACCCCGTCCTTGGCCTCGAGGAGTGGTGAGCAGCACGGAACTTTAATCAATCAAATGGCATTAGGGTAGGGGGCTTTCCTTTGTTAAAAATCCACGTGGGATAAAGATTCAAGCTTGGATTGAGTACACAGATATGCAGCAAAGTGGACTCAGGTTTGGGCAAGTGACTCTCAGATTAGGCCCTATTATTGTGGCTCGGGTTTACTTTTTCAGCATTTAAAGGAGTATATGCATGTCATGTTGCTTTCTCTGCTTTGGTTTACCGAAAGTGAGGTCGACACCTTCTTTCGGTGGTACCTTTTCTGTCTAGCTCGTTCTCTTATTCCCAGCTTGAAAGAAAAATGCTTTAATACAACGAACGAAGCTATTAGAAGTGAAGCTATTGGAATCGATAAAATAGGGACTGGTACAAATATTCTAATTGGTTCTTTTTTTTATATTATCCTTCTTTTTTTCATCTCTTTCTTTAGCTATTTTCTACGCATCTACTTAGTTTGTCGCTTAGGTAGTTGTTGTAGTCATGTTCCTATTTTTTCTTTTCTAATTATGTATGCTTCGGGTGGGGAAATCTTTGGGCCTTCCGGTCCACCGAGCTCGTCTTCGTGGGCGGAGGATTCATTCGAAATGGGGGTCTCATTAAAATCTTTTTCGGATACCGAAATTGAGGGAAATTCCTCGATCCCAGGGGTGGCGGGCGATGAAGCAGGGCCTTCGCTCCCACCAGCAGACCTTACTCCAAATGGGAGCCTTGAATCCTCCATAAGGGCTCGAGTTGTAAAACTTGAAAATGAAGGAAGCATCTTTCTCCTTGATAAAGAGAGGGGGAAATTAGGACTAAGCTCAAAAGCTGTTCTTCCCACTCAGAATATAACCTAGAACTGGAGTTCGAGAATCGGGATCTCTAGATTCGAGAAGAGAAACACTAGTGCTATTCCTTTTTTCAAAAAATTCTTGCTCAGCATCCTTACTTGTCCAAGGATGCCCCATACGCTCCTGGCGAACTCTTTAGTGACTTATTTGACGAGAAGTGGACGGAGCTTGACACCCACGGCGAGTGGAGCCCAAAAGAACGTGACATCAAGGAAATACAATTCCTAAGTCAAGTCTCTTCCGATCTAAAAAGAAGGGGCCCCGCCTCTATCTATATGAGATTTTCGGTGTCGGGAGATTTGAGATTCCGTAAGTAACTCAGTGAGTGCGAGGGCTTGGAAGAAGAAAATGAAATACGAACAACCGCGCTGGTCGTAATAGATGTACTTTCATGCTGGAGCAAGAACTAGCATGAAAGTTCCATTTCAGGGAAGGACGACGTACTATGATACTTTCTGTTTTGTCGAGCCCTGCTTTGGTCTCTGGTTTGATGGTTGTATGTGCTAAAAATCTGGTACATTCCGTTTTGTTTCCCATCCCAGTCTTTCGCAATACTTCAGGTTTACTTCTTTTGTTAGGTCTCGACTTCTTCGCTATGATCTTCCTAGTAGTTCATATAGGAGCTATAGCCGTTTCATTCCTATTCGTTGTTATGATGTTCCATATTCAAATAGCGGAGATTCACGAAGAAGTCTTGCGCTATTTACCAGTGAGTGGTATTATTGGACTGATCTTTTGGTGGGAAATGTTCTTCATTTTAGATAATGAAAGCATTCCATTACTACCAACCCAAAGAAATACGACCTCTCTGAGATATACGGTTTATGCCGGACAGGTACGAAGTTGGACTAATTTGGAAACATTGGGCAATTTACTTTATACCTACTATTTCGTCTGGTTTTTGGTTCCTAGTCTTATTTTATTAGTAGCCATGATTGGGGCTATAGTATTGACTATGCATAGGACTACTAAGGTGAAAAGACAGGATGTATTCTGACGAAATGCTATTGATTTTAGGAGGACTATAATGAGGAGGACGACAGACCCATCACGATCGAAAAGAGGAAAGTCGCATGGAGATATTGGTTCAAATCGAATTCGTGATCACAGACGAGAAAATAGACCCTTAAGCATGCCTATCCTACACGACTTCCTTTCCAGCATTTTTTCCTAACATAACAGCGGCTATATGCTTTTTTCCAGCACTCGAACAAAAAGCAGGAGCCGCTTCAAGGTCTTCGGCAACGAGTTCAACTGCTGACTCAAGTGGAGATCAAAGAGCTGCATCTCAATCTACGCAATTTTCCGATCTGGGAAGGAACGAACGAAGCTATTAAAAGTGAAGCTATAAGAAGAAGAAACCTGGAAAGAGGCTACTTCAAATCCTGGTTTGGGGTTATAGTTGATGGTTATTTCTGAATTCCATGGCCAGACAATTCTAGGCTTGCTAACCTTCCCACGCATACGTCATGCCAAAGCTCAATTATCAAACCTTTGAA